ATTTCTAAAACTATTTTTTCTTATCCCATAAACATCGTTCCTTCCTTCCATAAACATCTGATATATTAGTAACTCTGCACAGGACGGTAGGGTAACATCAACTCAGACATTAAGGGGTCTGTGTTTTCTTCTCCCATAGAAAAGGAAGGGGAGTTCAGCTCCTACTAATATTTACCAAGGCCACTGTGGTAATTATTCAGAGGCGAGATATTCTGAGAGGAAAATGCTGTTTTCTCTTTTTGGGTTAGGAAATGTCATGAAGGTATTCTATAAGCGTTTTCCAGAAATTTGATAATGTGAAGGGTCATTCCAAGAGTAATAAAGAGCCAAGTAAGACTAGGAAGACAAATTATGGTAAACTTAAGTTACTCATGAAAGAGAAGCCAATCAGGATATTACTATTAAATATTTCAAGAAACCTGAAGTTAGAACTAAAGGAAGAAAAATACTCAGAAGAATAGTTAGGTGCTGAGTGTTGATTTAAAAGAATATAGGAAGGAAGGAAGGAAGGAAGGAAGGAAGGGAAGAAGGAAGGAAAGAAAGGATCAGTAAACCTTAGAAAAATTTTTACTCATTGCTTAAAGTATAAAAATTGGTGAAAACCTAGATTTACAGCAGCAAGGTATGTAAATCTACATCCCTGAATGATGTAATCCCGCTACTATACTCACTGAAAAAGTATTCCTACTTGAGGCCATAAGGATTAATGTTGCTCTCTTGGTAATACACCAAGAAACAGTTCAATGTCTTTTAAGACAAAGCAATATAACACTCTAAATGTACAAGCAACATTGCTCCAGGAAACACATTTGTCTGCCAGAGCCAAATAGTAATCCTAATTTAATGAACATCCCCAGTTTGTTGAGCCCATCGGGGAATGAGAGTCTTTTGGGAAAGCCTGAAAATGAACTGTGCCAATTGATTAGGCAGCTTTTTATTTAGGGGGAAGTTTAAGTGCCTGGAATACTTGACTGAAAGATTTGAGAGTTCTCTCAAAATGGAGTCTATTATCCAAGACTACCCCTTCACTGCTGAGGGAAGGGGAAACAGTCATCTATATATTAGATACTTGTCCTGCTTCCAGACAAGTTCCTTGTTTCTTTGTATCTTAAGATCACCACAAGATATACTAGCTACAAGAAACAAGACTCCTGTGCACAATCAAAAAAGGAACAATATTAGATCCATTTGTTCATTCATTCATTCATTCATTCACACCTGAGGTGTTGGAAATGCTTGAAAGATAGTCTTTTCAAAGGGCCCTTTTATAGAGAATTGCATGCCATAAGGCAGGACCAAGAAAATTTAAAACAACTGGTATTTTCTTGATTTTGGGGGTAGTGGTAGGTGGGGGGCTCACTGAGCAGGCTTTAGTCAGGAGTTATGTCAAAGTGTAGGTAATTATTCAAAGAGTCCTCACCACTTCTCAGACACCAGCATCCCTCTCCTCCTTCTGAAGCCCGTTCTCGAGCAGTGACTGTTGGTTTTAACAAGGGAGTTAAACAAGGTTTAACAAATGGTACCTGCCCAGTCTAAGGAGATGCATTTTGCAGTCAGCTCTGAACTATTCTGCACTCTGTTCTCCCTGGATAAAACTTTCATTGTTCTCTAAGATTTGGTATCTCCTTTTCTACAGGACTGTCTGGTGGTGGCCGGAATTCCCTTTCGCCTTAGAATTTTGTAGTAGAAGTAGTGTCCTCTCTTTTCCCCTTCTGTGGCATATATGATTTCTGTGTTTGAATATTTGTGTTATCTGTTGATGAGGCTGGGCACCGGGGAGGACACATATGTATCTGCGTGCCAGGATGTTGAGAATGCCCAGATCTACCTGACAAATTTTCCAGTGTTTAGGAGCTGGTACATTTTTCACATGATGCCAGAAGTTCCTGAGGAACAGCTAACAATGAGATCTCAATTATAACCTTCTCTGATTTGGAAGCTAAGATCACAATTGCATGTTTATTTCTTCCAAGTCTCCTGAGAAATCATCTGTAGCATAGTATGGGATGTGGATTGTTACAGTAATTGGGGGGTGGGGTGAATTGTTCATATAACAAGAATAGGGGCAGAAACCATATAAATCGTTATGAAAATTTCTTCCTGGAAACTGGACTTGTGATATTTTATTGCCTGCTCCCAAGATGTCAGTAAGCATCATGAGATCAATAAAATTCCCTAAGATTCAGTGAGCCAAACTGGTCTCTATCTTCACTACATTACCCTGGATCCCAGGAAGGCTGTGGTGCTGAGTGGGGGTCCCAATAGCTCTAACTGCCAATTGCTTAAAATAACAAGTGATCTGTGAACATCCCAATGCAGAGGGAAGAAGGGGACAACAGAAGTAAGGAATAGAATTTATTTCCTTAATACCTCCTGTATTACACTTCTCTGGCTGCTGTAACAAATTACCATAAACTTGGTGGATGAAAGCAACAGGAATTTATTCTCTCATGAATCTGGAGGCCAGAAGCCTGAAATCAAGGTGTCAGTGGGGCCAGCCTCCCTCTGCGGGATCTAGGAGAGAATTTCTTCCAGCTTCTGATGCTTGTAGACATTGTGTGTGGAGGCACCACTCCAGTCTCTGCCTCTGTGGTCACCTGCCTCCTCCTCTGCTACCCCTGTCTTCTCTGCTTCTGTCTCTTGTAAGAATATTTGTCATTGGGTTTAGGGCCCACCCAAGTCGTCCAGGGTGATCTCATCTCAAGACCCTGAACTTAATTACATCTGCAAAGACTCTTTGTCCAAATGGTAACATTTCCAAGTTTTGAGGATGTGGACGTGGACTTATCTTTTGGGGTCACCATTAAGATCACTATGAATCCCATGTGTCAGGTTCTCTTCTGAGTACTTGATGTATATTATCTTTGAATTTCAGAATTCAAACCCTATGAGAACTCTACCAGGAGCTGGCCACATTACTGTGGACAAGTCATTCACCTATCTGGGTGGTAGCTTCCTCATTTGTAAAGTGAAGAACATGGATTAGATACTTTCTGTTGTTTCTTCCAGGCTTTACTTTAATGATTCCAGAGAGAGAGGGTAGACCCCTTCTAGAAGGGGACAACAGGGGAGGCTTTATTCAATAGTCCACAATGTGAAAGGTGCCTCCTGGAGATGTGTAATGAGCTTCCCATCTCGATGGTTGGTGTTAGCAAGAAACCTCCTAGCCACACTTCTCCCGAAGTCCCATGTGTATACACAAGACTTCAAACAACTCCCCCACCACCTAAATATGACCTGACCTCACTTCAAACATCCTTCCCACGACCTAAACATGACCTGACCATTCACTTTGATTTAACGCTTTTATTCTCTTATGTTTCTGGCAACGTAGACCCAGAGCAACACTATCCATCTTGAATTGTATTTCCATATTTTATTCTATATTGTATCTCTATAGCAGCAAAAATACACCTATAAAACTTTCTATAATGACCAACACAACATCTGAAAAAATGATATCATCATAATAACAATTGGTATCTAATGTCCTGTTAAAGGAATCGAAATAATACAGTAAGGCTATACAGAGCCTTGATCTGAGAAGACTTAAAATAATTTTGTTCAGTTCTACCTAGGTACCAATCACCCACAATCTTTCAGGCGTTGTACTAGAGGACTATAGATGGATATAAGAGCCTGTCCTTCCTCTTGCACGCTCATCTTCTAAAGGAGGCAAAAACATAATACTTGTGTCCAAGCATTGGTACTCAAGTATGTGAAGCTGAAGAAAGTTCTCATGAAAAAAAAATAATAAATTGAATCAGGGATAAGACTGGGGAGAAGGAGCAAGAGACAGAGCAAAAGCTTGTTGGCTTCATTGCTAAATCATGAGAATGTGAATGCCAATCACACTGCCACTGAAACCCCAGAGGATACAACGACTCGTGACCATCAGGGGATTAATGGTGCATTTAAATTGTTCTCTCCAGAGGTTATATATGCACTGAGGCACAGAGTGGAGGTCAGAGCTGCGTGGCCCCTAATGGCAAATTTCAAAATGCCCCTGCTTTTTTCTGAGAAGGATTGATAACATCCAAAGAAGTTGTGGCAAATAGTCAGATGAGATATCTAAACTCCAAGAAGGCCTTAGGTTCCATGAGACCCACCAGTGGGTCCTAGAAATGTGTCCAGGAGAAATCTGTCCCCTGGCCAGATGGAGGTTCAGTGAACATGCGTTTTGGTTCAGTGAACTCTCCCCTGCCAGGAAGGAATTAGTCATCATCCTAACAACAATAACGTGGACTGGGATACTGTGCAAAGTGTGCCTAATGTCTCCACTAAACGTCAGGGTGAGCTGTGAACTTGGCAAACTCCTATTCATTCCCAGTTAACAATTCTCTCCAATTCCCCAGTAGACTGTGGGGCCTGGTTGGCGGCTGGCTCGTAAGAGACCCAGAAATACATAATCGGTTGAGCTGAGCAAGACTTAGGAAAGAGATTCACAATAGACAGAAGGCTGCTCAGGTTCAGCCTTAAGGAGACTGACAACAGCTTCTCTTCTGGAAATGGAAGAAACACCCGGAAGCAGCTCACACGGAGGAAAGCCAGTAAGGCATTTGCAACGTCCAAAATTGATCTGGTCATCATGAGAAACAGGCTGTGTAAGGGAAAGCTCAGCATGGACAGAAGCGCTCACAGCAGCCCAGGCACATGGCAAATCGGAGAGCCACAGGTGGACAATAAAAGAAATCTATAGTCATGCTGGTTGCCAACCTCAAAAAGTGCCACAGAATGTCAACGCCCTGCAAAGCCTAAATAACTGGAATAGCTCTCATGTGACACACAAGAGATGTTAAGGGTCTGGGCCTAGCTCAAAATTCATAGTGCCCTGCCCCTAATGACATTTTTTTTTTTTCTCCAATTAAGTGTTAGTGACTGGGAAGTAGAAATAATAAGAGTAGTAGTAATAATATTAGTTTTAGTCAACTCAGGCTGTTATAACAAAAGACCATAGACTGAGTGGCTTAAACAACAGACATTTATTTCTTACAGTTCTGGAGGCTAAGAAGTCCAAGATTAAGGTACGGGTAGATGCAGTTCTTGACAAGGTCTCTTTTCCCCACTTGCAGTTGGTCGCCTTCTTGCATCTTCACATGGCGGCGGGGTCGGGGGGTATCAGGTCTCTTCCTCTTCCTATCAGGGCACTAATCCCGTCATGGAGGCTTCCCCCTCAAGACCTCATCTAAATCTAATCACCTCCCAAAGGCACCATTTCCAAATACTATTACACTGGGGAGTAGGGCTCTGATATACAAAACTGGGGGGATACAAACATTCAGTCAATAATAATAATAATTAATAATAATAAGCAGACACTACTCCTGCCCTAATGAAGCTTACACTCTAGAGGAGTTATAGATGTTGATCAAATTGTCATACACAAATATGTGAAATTATAGTTCTGCTAAGTTTTAAAAAGAACAGGGTTATGAGGCTATGAGGGCACATAATAGGGGGATTTGCATCAAGTGAGGCCAAAGATACTCCTGTCAGAAGGTGACAACAGAGCTGACGTTGAAGGACAAGGAGGTGCTAACTTGTGGTATAAGACATAGAATACAAGTAGCTGCCAAGCAGAGAGATGAACAGTATCCAGAGGGACCTGTGCGGTCCGGGAAGTGTGTGTGTGTGTGTGTGTGTGTGTGTGTGTGTTATTTTAAGGAAGAGACTTAAATGAACAGAAGGATGGAGCTGGGCTTCATACAGCCACATGATGAGCATAACTCCCACGGGCTTTCTAATTCTTCACATTTAAATTGAAAAGAGTCTTCCTCAGTGTTGAGGAAATTATAAAAATTTCTATCTTTATTTTACTGAGGCTGGTCTTCTCTCTGTCTTCATGTAATGTCCACCTCCGCCCCTCTTTACCTCATGCCCTTTCCTAAGCTCTTCTCCCACTTCCTTTCTATAGTGCTCGGTACACAGATCCCTAAAAACTGAATTCCCATTCTGTGGTGGAGTTTGGGAGTGTGTCTCCACTTCTCGGTCCTTATTATCTGAATTGTCATATTTTAGGGCTTTTCTATTAAAATGAGCTGTAATAATCACAGAAATATTATTATAAGTTGAAAAATGTTCCATTAGGAGACAAATTACCTCCTTGGAAAAGAAATTCTTTGTAAATAACATGAACCTGTTGGCTATTTTTTGTATTTTACTTTTTGAGAACAGCTCAGAAGGGTCATAGTTCAATATTCCTGTGGCCAAAATAAGCAATGAGTTCTGTGAAACATGCATACGTTAAAAAAAAAAAAAAGGCTGCTAAAATTGAAGACAAGGAGCCTTACCAATTGGACTTCTAAAAAAATTCCATTAGGAAGTTTGTCATATATACTCAACCTTATAAAGGATTTTCTGAATGGCCACCAGCATGCCAGACACTGAATGAGATAAAGAAGATAAAAAGAAGCATAAGACAGAACCTGAGGGCATGTAGTCTAGGTAGAGAAGAAAAATCAAGACTCATTTATTCATAAATATTCTTGAGCACCTATTAAGTGTCAGTGACCAACTAGGAATAAATCCTCCCTACATTTGCTGAGATTAGAGTCTCGGCAACACACTCAGAAAAAGAGAAAGACAAAAGCTTCCATACATGACTCCTAGCCAACTTCAACATTTTCTGTTAACACAGGGACAAAAAAGAGTAGTATGATGACTTTATCAAACTTATTATACAGACTTAATTTATTTAAAATCAAATTCCTCACAAAGTACTACTGAAGTCAAACATTTATAGATAGAGGTAGAAATAGATTATGATTGTCAGAACATCCAACACAAATAACTCAACAAGCATATATCAATGTTTAGGAAATTCATGTACTCTATTACCAGGAATCTCCCCATCAACTAATATGTCTCTTCCTTATAATAATTAGGTATAAAGACACTGACTGATGAATGAGACAAATTATTAAAGACTGAACTGTGTCCTTCCAAAATTCATATGTTGAAGTCCTTATACTCAATGTGACTGTATTTGGAGACATGACCTTTATGGAGGAAATTCAGGTTATACAGGGCTATAAGGGAGGGGCCCTAATCCAATAGGACTGGGGGTGGAAAAGGAAAAGATGCCAGTGCTCTGTGTGTGTATTGAGCAAGGGCCATGTGAAGACACAGTGGCCATCTGCAAGCCAGGAAGAAAGCCCTCACTAGGAACTGTATTGGCTGACACCTTGATCTCAGACTTTTTGCCCCCAGAACTGTGAGAAAATACATTGCTGATGTTTAAGCCACCGAGCCTGTTATATTCTGTGATATAGCCCAAGCAGACTCACAGAAAAATAAACTAATATTTATTGAGTACCTGTTATATACCAGAATCTGTGCATCATAACAGTCAATATTTATTAAATACTTACAAATAAAAATATTCTTAGGGCATTACCTTCTTTTGCATAGTTCAAGATGGCTTGCCACCATGTCCACATCACAACTACAAGATGAGAAAAGAAAAGGAAACAACCCTTCTCTTTAAGTCTCCACCCAAAAATTGCACATTATATTTACTTACATCCTATTAGGAGAACATAATCACATAGCTAACCTCAGCTACAAGGGAAGTTGAGAAATGTAGTCTTTATTTTTTTTTCCAAATCAGAAGTTCTATTACTATGGAAAAAGGAAAGAATGCATACTGAGTGACACAAATCAATCTTTCCTATACCCACACCCTCACATGGACTTAGACATTCCTGAGTAAAATATTTAATGTTTATAACCCTGCTGTTATGCTTCACCCTAGATCCTCTGATTAAACCATTGGATAATGTTACCACTTAGTTGGGGCTAATATTTTCTATACATCTTAGTTAACTGACTCCTACTGCAAAGAAGCTAGCACATCCTTTTGTTGATTAACCCCAGTTGTTTATTGCCCTTGTAATGGAAGAAACACAAATTTTTCTCATAGCCATAAAAGCTAAGTGATTTGCTTAAGGCTTCACATAGGCGGTAAATAGAATAACTGGGATATGAATCAAGATTTTGGCATTCCAAGTGCAGTTTTGTTCCCACTTAACTACCAGATGATTTAGAAGTGCCTCCTAAAACACTCTAAGATTTACAAACGAACTAGTCTCTACATAATAGAAGGTATCAGGTAGATAAGTTGGATGGGGAAGACCAACCTGAACAAATGGGAAGAAACTTTTGTGGTTCATCTATTTCTTTTTTCTTAAATAATTTGACTTTCAATCACTAATATTCCATGATGTGAAAGTATCATGTCTTGCTAAATCTCCTGTTACTGTCTATTTAGATTGTTTTTATTCTTTTTTCACTGCTGTTATAAACCACACTGCATTAAACCTAACTGTGTATAAATATTTATATGAGGTGGATAGTTCAAAAGTTATACACATTTTTAAAGCCTGTTGATTGTCTTTGGCAATACCGTCAAGCTGCCATCCAAAAAGACTTACTAATACTTACTTCCATCAACAATACATGGCCATAAGGATTGAGGTCTTAGACTGGGTTCTCTGGAAACAAATGCGATATGAAGATCTTTATGCAAGTGATTTATTCAGGAAGTGCTTCCAGGGGAGGCCAGTCCAGAAGTGATCAACAGGACAGGGAAAGAAAGGAAGCCAGGCAGAGGTGTGCTGTCAGGCAAAGTGCTATAGAGTTTAAGCTTCAGCCCGATTCCTTGGGAGAACTCTTAAGAATAAAGTAAACCTCAGAATTGTCCCAAACAGAGGCAAGGAAGCTGGACTTTCACATTCTAATGCCTGATAGTCATTTGTCAAAGGCCAGCTTGGGGGAGACCTAAGTCCCAAGCATGTATGTTTTGTAGTAAAACAGTTCCAGTAGCCTGCAGGCAGTCTTCCAAACAAGAGCTTCAAGTCTCAGACATTAAAAGCACACAGAAGTCTGGGTGCCTGGGTGGCTCATCAGTTAAGCATCTGCCTTCGGCTCAGGTCATGATCCCAGGGTCCTGAAATGGAGCCCCACATCAGGTTTCCTGCTCAGTGGGGAGTCTGCTTCTTCCTCTCCCTCTGCAGTGCCCCCTGCTCATGCTCTTTCTTTCTCTCTCTCTCTCTCAAATAAACAAATAAAATCATTAAAAAAATCAAGTACACAGAAGTCAGTGTTAGAGGCACTGTAGGTTGTATACAGAAAATATCATAAGAAACCCGAAAGGATATGGGCAAAGCATTAATATTTTCTGCTACAGTCCACCCCTTGCCCTGCTCAACCCTCTCACATTTCCTGTTCACTCCATTCTAGTAAAAATTCTTGAAGGTGAGAGTGACTCAAAATTTCTGAGGAAAGATTGTAAGTTTGAGAGTTAGCTGAACAAACTACAGTCTCCACGGTTGCAGTTGGTCCCAAAGTGATGACATTTTATCATCTCCCTCTTCTACCACCTGTTCTAGATTTTCCTCAGCCACTACTGAAAATAACCATGATGTGACGCATTACTGCCCAGCACGTTCTTCTTTGCCTTAGTGAGGGAACTTCCCTCTGGGCCTTACGTGGAACAGTCATGCTTATCCCTCTAAATCTTTTGATCCTTTTCTCACTACTCTGCCAGGTCATTATTTGTTCCAAGCTTCCAGGGCTATTCTGGTAGCATATTAGGACCAGCTCCAGGTGTCCTTGCCAGGGAGTTAAATACTGAGTCACAGAATATTTTTATTTGTGAGTATTCAATAAATATTAACTGTTATGATGCACTCTCCCTTATCCACCATCTTGGTCTGACCTCTTCAATATCTACTTCTACACATCCTCCTCCTAGAAATCTAAGAATACATATTACCCATGCCCTACAAATCTTTTAGCAAATAATTTCTTCTTCCTTTAATAAGACCCAAATTTCCCCAGTTAGGTCATGTTGAGGCTGGACCCTAGTTATTTATCTACTGGCCAGGAATAAATGTAGGGGGAGATCATGAGGATAGCAGGTATTACTTTTCAATGCATCCACCTTAGTCGAGCCTTCTGAATCATCTCCCAGCATGAAGGGGAAGACTATCCTTTAGACAACAAGAGCTGGCAATTTTGCAGGCCCAGAGGATTCAGTAGACTCTAGAGCATATCCACTCAGACATACCTATCTTGAATTTCATTGTTCCCCTCCTTCCTTATTAGGGCTCTGATTTTGGTGTAGGTTATTTGCTAGGGTCCTTAAGTTCAGTCTTTCCTGAAGTTTTGTTACTCCTAAAATAGAGCCCAGTGCCTGGTATTCGGCATACTTTAAACCTCTTAAATGGTTCCTGGGTGGCTCAGTTGGTTAAGTGTCTGCCTTTGGCTCAGGTCATGATCCCAAGGTCCTGGGATTGAGTCCCACATTGGGCTCCCTGCTCAGCTGGGAGTCTGCTTCTCTGCCCCTCCCCTGGTTCATGTGTTCTCTCTCTCTCTCTCTCTCTCATAAATAAAATCCTTTTAAAAAAATAAATACTCTAAAGTCCTGCTGGCTTTCCTACTGCGTCTTAAGTTGGTAATTGACTGCCCTCACCCTATATTTGTCTCTCCTTGATGCATTAATAGCATTCAGCAAACCATCAACCAATTTCACAGTTCTTGTAATCACAATTTTTCTCATATCTTCTAAATGCAAGTGATGTCGTATGAGTCAGAGCATCCTTGCCATCTGTATGCCAGCCCAACCTAACACAGGTGAAAATCTTGGTAACTGCACGCTAATGCCAAGAAGATATTACTCCACTTAGCACCAGTAAGAGGGCCTTTGTTTTTGAGTGGCCATTGAATAGCTAATTTCAGAACCTGGTCCCCAGAGTCTGCTGCCTGGGACCACTGCTGGTACAAACAGTCTTAGGGGAATTCTGCAGAAGCAGTCCCTGAGATGAGGGTTCATATGCAAACAATTTCAAAAAATGCTTCCAAGGAAGGCTAGTAAAAGAGTGGGGGAAGCCAGGACAAGAAAGGGAGGAAGAAATATAAATATCCGAATTTTGCCATCGCTTGAGGTAAAGAGACAGTAAATACTGCCTAAATATATAGGATTTACCATATTTTATACATTTTAGCTGTGACTAATATCCCTAGAAGATTAAAAATACAGTACAGACATGCAGGGGGAAACGTTTTAAAAAAGAGCAAAGAAAACATAGAAATACAATGAAAGATTGGAAAAGGCGTAAAAATAAGAATAACAGAAAGATAACATAAAACTGAAAAGTATATTTCATATCAATAAATATAAATGGTATATGCTTTCCTATTAAAAGATAAAGGCTCTCACATTGTACAAAATGTAAAATCCAACCATATGACATATAAACACACACTTAAAACACATTGACAAAAAAACATTGAAAATGAAACAATTTAGGGATACCTGGGTGGCTCAGTCAGTTAAGCAACTGACTCTTGATTTCAGCTGAGGTCATGATCTCAGGGTTCTGGAATTGAGCTCTGCTTTGGTCTCCACTCTCAGCAGGGATTCTGCTGGAGGATCCTCTCTCTCTCTCTGCCCCTCCCCTGGCTCGTGGGCTCTTTCTCTGTCTCTCTCTAAAATAAATAAATGAATCTTTAAAAAGAAAAATTTAAAAACTTACAAAGGTTTACCATAAAAATAAAAAGTTCACTGTAAAGGACATAAATTGGTTTTTGATCACATGAAAAGATCCTACCCTCACAATAAGAACAATCCAAAATAAAACAACTCTAGAGGGGGCTGTTCACCTATCAAATTATTAGAAATCGAAAGTCAGATAACACATTGGTTGTTGGAGATGAGAGCAAACAGTCACTCCTATACATGGTTGGTGCGACTGTAAATTATTTATGGAGTTGTAACTTAATAGTACCTATTGAAATTACAAATATATTTGCTCAATGATACAGCAATCCCAGTTGGACAAATTTATCCTAAAGCGATCCTCACACATACGTACAAGGATATTCAATGCAGTACTGCCTGTAAGTGCAAATATTTGAAAGTAAGCCAGTATGTCCATTAACCAAATCTATGACACCATTAAAAATAAAAATGTAGCTTTCTGTGTATGTTTATGAAATGAGCTCCAAGAGTAAGCGGGGAGGAGAGTGTCCCTCTCAAGGGTCTCTGCTAGCCTACATGTTGCTTTTGTGCAAATTAGAAAAAGATGCCACCTTCTTCTGCATGGGCACAGCCTTTGCATGGGCCCATGGTCTGTAAGTGGAGCAGAAGAGAATTTTAGCCATACTTGCCCCTCAACCACATACATTTATGAAGGACAGAGCCATATGTGGCCATCCTGGCTCCAAAGCAAAAACCTGCATTACTTTTTCATATGGCATTTAAGAAAAAGGAACATCACAAATTTATTCCTATTCTTTTAGTACATAGACATACTATCAAACAATTACCTGAGAAGGAATAATGGCTTGAAGATATCTTAATGTAACCCACAAGGAAAATAATAACTGCAGGATCATTAAGGTTTAATCATCTAGTGGAAGGAGTAGCATTTTATTTACCAGACGATCTTAATTTGTTTTCTGAATTGAATTAATTGATTAGTTAATTTAGTGCTTAACACCACTTGTTACCTTTGAACAGCAACACTAAAACTTTAAATTAGTAAAGTTTATAAACAATGAATTTGAAGATGGACCACGATGTCACAGATTTGCATCAAATGAATGTTATAATGTATAATATTTCTATTATGCCAATACATTCATATATGTAAAACATTAAAAAAGGTCAAGTCAATTATCTACAAGTTTGGTCCATATCATGCTGAGATATGGCTTATATTAAAGCTCTTAAAACACATACCAAAATTTCAGTAACATAACAATATCCCAATGCAGTTGTTCCTGGCTGGCTGGTGGCTTTCCCCTTGAGAGATCTAGATGCATGGACTCTTTCCATCTTGTGCTCAGCAGTGACCTTGGGCCTTGGAATCCTCCACATTTACCTGACAGAGAAGGAAAGAAAGAGTGGAGAGAATCTTGCCTCTTAAAAACCTCAGACAGGCAGGGACAAATATCAGTTCCCCTCTTATTACATAGGTGAGATCTAGTCTTATGGCCATGCCTAAATACAAAGGCCTCTAGAAATGTCTGTAGCCCCACAGCTGTCAATCATAAATAAGCCTACACCACGAAAGGGGGAGCATGAATTTTTGAATGGCTAAATATCTCTGCCACAGAGTTGGACCTTGTAGGGCAGTATCTGACTGAATCACTTACCCTGAATTTAAGCGCTTTCCGTTACATGAACCAAAGAGAGGCCTATAATGGAATGAAAGATCTGAACTGAATAAAATACCTGATAATTCTTCAAAAAAACTGTTTCCAGGGCACCTGGGTGGCTCAGTCGTTAAGCGTCTGCCTTCGGCTCAGGTCGTGATCTCAGAGTCCTGGGATCGAGCCCCGCATCAGGCTCCTCGCTCTGCGGGAGGCCTGCTTCTCCCTCTCCCACTCCCCCTGCTTGTGTTCCCTCTCTCGCTGTGTCTATTTCTGTCAAATGAATAAATAAAATCTTTAAAAAAAAAACAACTGTTTCCATGTGTCATCTCCTTCTCATTGATTTTTCATCCCACTTCTACCTGAAATTTATTCTCAAAATTTCATCCGACAATATTGGTCAAAAATATATTGAGCGCTTCCACAAACTCAACTGGCATTTTTTGGTCTTTATGTTGATGGACCTTCACTGCAGTGACCCTGGTGACTTCTTCCTCTTTTATAGTATTCTCACCTTTGTCTGTACTTGCCTACTTCTTCTGGACATTTCACCTCAGACCTCATCCTGGCTTTCCTCTTCTGATGTTCCCTAAACGTTCGTGTTCCAGAAAGGTTAATCCTGACTCAACACTTCCTTTTCCAAACCTTCCTTGAACGGTCTTATTCTTCCTGTGATTAGAACCACCACCTGAATGCAATTAGTGCTCACATTTGTATCTCTAGACATTATTTGTAACCTGAGCTTCAGACTGTGCTGGACATCACACAAAGACTTTTACTTCATTAAGTCCAAATACACCTTTTTCTAAATTTGCTTTTCCCCCATTATTTCTGTCTCAACAATGAGACAGTATCCACCCAGTTACATAAACTAATAACCTAGAGTTCATGCTTGACCATATTTATTTCGAACCCATTAAATTAATCATAAGTACGGTTGGCTTATTTTACCTCCTACATGTATTTCAGATCTATTCCTTCCTATTCATTTCCTATTATTATTTTCTTAAATTGGAAACTTCAAAATTTCTCCTCTGAATTACTGAAATCATCTCATTTTGGGTCCTCTACTATAGCCCCCCTCTCTTTAGATTTTACACCTTGGCTAATAATGATTCCATCCCAGACCTAGTGGCTCAAAACATTGGGTCATGATGTCTAATTTGAGATTGTAGAGGAGATCCTAGGTAATTTTATTACCAGCCAATTTTGGAAATTACTGCCCTAGAATAAGTCCTATGGGCAAGCCCCAAGTAGCAGGTCATACAGAAACCAATCCCTTTGTATATTTTCAGGTCTTTCTATATTGTCAGTTTTCTAAGCCCTGAAAACAACAAATGAGTGAAACTGAGGCTCTGACATGATAAGTCTAGTTACTTCAACAGCTTCAAGTTCAATTCTATTATCATCACTACAGAGTGATTATGAATTGGAGAAACCCTTGGGTCACACTGTGTATTTTATATACCCCTGTGTGCCGAGTATTAGGTCACAGAAATTTTTTGTCAGGTCATGTCAGGCAGATGTTAGGGGATGAATCAATGTATTGGCAAACTAACAAGTTTAACAAGTGTAACCTCAGTTGCTGAGCTATGAATGCCATCACTTAATAGAGAGCAGAATGGGAACTAAATGAGTGTGTATCAGGGTTTCTTGGATTCTTAGATTGGCTGCCTTACAACAAAGTGTGTTTGTTGGAAGGATACTGGAGAACTCATTAAATTGGCTGGAGGTGGAAAAAAAAAAAAAAGGCTGGTCAATGAGCATAAACCAGGGAAGCCGAGAGGTCTAGAAAGCATGAAACTGAGTAATCATCTCATTAGCAGGAACAGGCTGGTCAGGACGCTTGCCACCACCACTGCTCAACGGAAGACCTCCAGGAGCTCGTGTTGGCCTCGTCTACTTTGTTTCACATTCAAAGATCTCAGGTAGAATATCTAATTGGTCAGACTTAGGTCATGGTCAGCCCCCTCAACGGTGACAGTGCTAGGGAGAGGGTGGACTAGGACTGGTCACAATAAAGAAGAGCTCCCTTTCCACAAGGATCTCAGGGTGCTGTTAAGAAGAGAGAATAAAAGCTAACAAATATCCCCTGACAGGCACATAAGGAGAAATGAAGGCGAAAAGAAAAAGGATGAGGAAACAAAAGATTGAGGAAGGGAGGAAAATAGTAGGTCCCAGCTCACACAAACAGCCAAGTCGGAATTTTATTTTGCTTTGCTTTGTTTTTATTACTTTTTAAATTAATTGAAAGAAAATCTCTTATGGACCTGATAACAATACATCTGGTCCTAATAATCCTAAAAAATCTCTGTTTATAGACATTGAATATGTTGTTGAAATTAAACATAACGCATGAACCAAAATTTCAAGATCAGTTTAGGGTTTGGTTTTTCAATAAAGTATACCACAAAGGGAATAAAGAAATTCTTTCCTCAAATTAATGGTGAATTCTTTTGTCATGAGAATAGGAGTTTATATTCATTTCAGTGAAAGCACATAAATTGTTCTCGACAAGAAAAACAAAACTAGCCCAAGGCAGTATTTTCATTATAGAAAAAGGCACATGTCCATGAATATCTAGTTTAATATTAACAAAAGTCATTCAATTAGCTATGCATGTGTCATTGTTATGAATATTTATTCATGTCTCAGCTAAGTAACACTGATATCTTTTATTCACTGGTTCAGAGATTCAGATGTTATAAACATTACCCTTCTTGCCCTGGCGTGACATACGGGGATTTGAGTCCAAAAAAGACCTGACATTTCCCAGCACTGGAAATGCTAATTTCTTTGGAACTTTCAACTTTATGTTAAGAAAATTGCCTTTGTTGTGGGCTGATTTTATTTCTTCTCTAAAATCATTAAAGGGGGAAAAATACTGACACACTAATGTTGCTTCTGTAATAATAATTTTTAAAGAAATAAAAAATGGTTTCCTTTTCCGTGTCTCCTGCCATAGCTCTAGGTGGCCAAAGGGGAATGTGAGCAGGGATATTTTAGAGCAGGGCTAGCAAACTCATGATACACAAACTATCACACCACTATTCCCTAGTCTGGGATAGGCTTTGTTAATCAGTTAGGATGCTCTTTCCTGCTAAGCCCAGATACAGTGGTTTCTGCATCGTAAACTCAACTCTTAAGCATGTGTTTTGGATCCATAGGACTTGTCTTATAAAATGAAATCTACTTGCCATACATAATTTAGGTCAGTTCAACGTATTGAGGAAAAAAAACAAGTCTTTTTGTGCTGCCCTATTCAGGAGATGTATAGCAGCATGTGACTTGATGGTCTCAGTTTCCACCACTTGGAAACTCTCACACTGTCCAACCATTAGTGACTTAGAATCTCATATTTTTCCTTCTCCCCTCAACCTTGACTTTTTCGCCTACCACCATGGAGAACGCATTATCTCAACTCCTGCCTCCTTTCCTTTCTGGGTTTTTATCTTCCCTTCTGATGGCCAGTCATTTCTTATTTAAGCAGCTTCTGTACTGGAAGTGGGACACACACACACACACAGACGCACACATGCGCACACACACACACAAGTTATTTACATGCACTCCAGAAAATTCTGGCTCAGAGAAGAAAGTAAAATGTTTTCTAAAATATACTTATTACCTGCAGATTTCTATGGTCTAAGAATGATCTATTCTCTACCATCTCTACAATTCTCTACCACCTACCATTAAATTATTAAGTTTTACAAATGTTTGAAGTTTCATTTCACAAACACACTAGAAATAATCTATCAAAGATATTTTTATGTTCCAGCAGATGTACCATCCTCCTTGATTTGCCAATAAGAAGTGCCTGGGTGGCTCAGTTGGTTAAGCGTCTGCCTTCGGCTCAGGTCATGATCCCAGGGTCCTGGGTTTGGGCCCCGCATAGGGCTCCCTGCTCAGTGGGGATTCTGCTTCTCCTTCTGCCTGCCGCTCTGCCTACTTGTGCTCTCTCTCTCTGTCAAATAAATAAATAAATAAAATATATATAAAAAAAGAAATGCTATCAACAAAAGCGGTCTCTAAGCCGAAATCTACTCTAGTTCGGGTCAAACACTGCCTTCCTTCTTTACCTCATCAATTCCTATCCATCTATATTTCTATTTCAGATATCATTCGAGGGTCACTTCCTCAAAGAAGCTTTCCTTCCTTGACCTCCTAGTTTAAAATCTTTTCGTTATTAGTGACTAGTGCATAAACTGACATTCTTTTATTTACCCGAGTTTATGTGCACACATTTATTGTTGCAATTTTTTTCTGTTAATATCCATTTCTACTATGAGACCATAAACTCCATGAGATTAGGAGCTGTATCTTCCTTTGCTTCACGTTATCTGCCCGGTGCCCGGCACAGGGTGTGACCGACCTGTGGCTCAATAAATAACGGTTGAATGAATTACTAGGTATTCAACTTTCAAGCTATGAATGATTAATGATAGTTTGATATGGCATATGTACTAAGTGAATTTGCAGACTGGAGGAGAAAATAGCTTAACCCAAAGGAATCTCCAGTGGAACATTTCCACCATCTGCGACAGAACGGAGAGAACACTTCTCCTGGGTAGGAGGCAAAGTTCCTTCCAATCACTCTTCAGTGGATGCACGTAAGGGGCTTCTTAGTTCTCTCAGTAGATTATCTAGGATAGCTGCTTGCTTTCCCAGAATGCTTCAAATGCCAGCTCCCCTTCTGTGATTGTGAATGCTCATCTTCTTCCCAATGTCCCCTCAAGGGCCTCAGCACCTCGGTGGGTTTACGGCAAGCCGCTGGGTTTGAGTTAGGATGTAACAGAAGCCGTGGGAGAGTAATGTTCTCCTGGCCCAGGGCTCAGAGTGACCTGGATAGAACAGGAGCCTTAGTACCGCCAGGCTCCTTCGCAACCTGTCTTTTCATTTGTTTGTTTTTACGTTTGGGTCAACATTATAAAAGTGACCGAAATTGCTGTCCTCTGTTGGTATGGAATTAAGGAGAGACTTTGGTCCTTATAACCATTAAAGCCTTAATTAAGCCAAAAGTGGGAACTCATTACCTCCCGTGTAGCTTGAGATCTAGCTTTCAAATTACATCACTGCCGTCAGCCTGGCCCTGCGGTTTCCACTTCTTGCCACAAGGCACTTGGCCCCCCAGAGAGGTCAGCAGACAGCCCTGTCTCTTCACAAAGGAAGTAGCCATACCCTCCCTGAACACTGCTACCCTTCTGATTGTCTGAGATACAGTATTTGAGCTTCTGGAAAATGCTGGAACTTAAAATACCTTGAAGCTCTGTGAAAGGCAAGTTGTCAATTCCTTGAAAAAAAGGATGGTCTTACCCATTTCTTATGACCTGATGCTCAGAGCCCAGCAGCTGTTGGTACTAAGTAAAAATTGTTCTCGGTTCACTGGTTGTTTTGTGTATGAATTGAATTGACATCATTAGTCTGGGGATAAATAGGACTTGAGATTAGTGGTTCCTAGAGATGCTGGTCTGAGGACTATATCAGAGTCACCGAGAGAGTGTTCAACAAGAGCAGATCACAAAGCAGTACCACCCAAACATGAAGGCTCAGTGTGTTAGGGGCAGGGCTCTGAAAGCTGTATTTTGTAAAGTTTCTCTACGTGAGTCACCACGTTTCATCAAATCTAAAAATACCATCAATGATGATGGGAGCATTATTTTGTCTATCTCCAAGAAAGAAAAAAAAATCAATTAAACTGCACCATACTACTCATGATGTCATTGATTATAAGCTGCATCCCAACTTTTGAGCTGTGACCATGTACAAATGTGAAAACACCATCTTAGAGCATTTGGAGTGAACCTGAGGAAACAGTGACATTGGGGTTAATCAGGAAGGAACAACACGGAGGCGAGAGGAGAAGGATGGCAAACAGGTAAGTGCATACTATTAATCTGAGAGAAACGTGCAGGTGCTTCCTATCTATCAATAAATAAGGTTGCAGATTGCTAGTGTGACTCTATTTTTTTTCCAAACTCAGAACACCAACTCAAAGCTTTTGGTTTGATTTAGAAATTTATTTTGTTACGGGCGCCTGGGTGGCTCAGTTGGTTAAGCCACTGCCTTCGGCTCAGGTCATGATCCCGGAGTCCTGGGATCGAGTCCCACATCAGGCTCCCAGCTCAGCGGGGAGTCTGCTTCTCCCTCTGACCCTCTCCCTTCTCATGCTGTTTCTCTCTCTCGCTCGCTCCCTAATAAATAAATAAATAAAATCTTTAAAAAAAATTTATTTTGTTACAAGCATAATGAAAATAAAATAGCTAACCATATGTTGTTATTCATTTAGATGTCTTTTTTTGCATAAAAAATGTATAAAAATGTGACAGTCTTATAATTACAGCCTATATAAACAGGAAGTGATATTGATATAAATGGTTAAGTGGATCTAATCAGATGGTTCTGACAACCCACGTTAAGTTGGATATAACTGCTCCTTTATCAGCTCTGTCCGGTAGAAATATAATGGGAGCCATAAGTGAGACTTTAATTTTCTAGCAGCCTTATTTAAAGAAATTAAGGGAAACAGGTGAAATTGATTTCAATAACATATTTTATTTAATCAACATATGTAAAATATTGTCATTTCAACATTTAGTCGATACAATAATAACGAGTGCAATATTTCACGTTATTCATAGTATCTTCAAACTTGGGTGTGCATTTTACACTTGAATCATGTATCAATTTTGACTAGTCACATTTACGGTGCTCAGTGTCCACATGTGGGCACCACATTGGCACAGTGTAATTTTACATTCTCTCTGCAGTTTATGTATCCCTAGGTGAGAAGAGTATTCATCCCTTCATAATAACTTAATGGCAGTGCCATGGGAAAACTTGTTGGCATGGATATTGAATTCCCTTAGAGGAAAGACTTCTATACCATTTCTTATTATCATAGTATAAAACAAAATAAATGTGATAATGTGCTAGTGAAAATGAAGCTTATGTAAATACCTTTAGCTAATTCAAAAACAACTTATCTAACATAACTTTATGTATTCATATACATACGTACTTGTAGACACAATGGAGAAATTTGTGTATGTATGTCAGTCTCAATTCCAGATTCAATTTTTTTTTTTTTAGAGAAGGAGGGAGCAGGGAAGGGGCAGGGGGAGAGGGAGAGAGAGAGAATCCCGAGCAGGATCCATGTGCAGCGTGGAGCCCAACACAGGGCTTGATCTCACAACCCTGAGATCATGACCTGAGCCAAAATCAAGAGTTGGATGGTTAACTGACTTAGCCACCCAGGTGCCCCCAGATTCAGCTTTTGCTCATAGAAGACTGAACTGGTAGCTGAAATTTAAGGGGATACAAAGGAGTATAAGACACAGTCTCTACTCTCTGGGAATTTACACTACATTTAGGGAGAAATTTATGAGGCTCAATCAACTCTGTTCAAGTTACTTTTGCACACTGGAATTCTGTGTGATGTTAAAATATAACATGAGAAAAGCAGGATATTAACTGGGTTTTATATATCCTTTCGGCAGGTAGGAATTTTCATTGCTGTAAGCTCATATAATGGGATACCCTGAATCTTACTGAGTATCAGTTCTGAGGCCATAGAGTTTTGATTCCTCAGAGGATTTCAAAGCAACTCATGGCACCACTAAAACAACTCTTGCTGGTTATATTAGTTTTTATATTGATTCTTTTTTAAAAATTAAAAAAATTTAATTTCAGTATAATTAACATACACTGTTTTATTAGTTTCTGGTGTACAATTTAGTGATTTAGCAATTCTATACATTGCTCAGTGCTCATCGTAAGTGTACTCTTTTTTTTTTAAGAGGTGGGGGAGGGCAGAGAGAAGGAGAGAGAGAATCTTAAGCAAGCTGCTCTGCGCAGCATGGGGCTGATGTGGGGCTCGATCTCACAACCCTGAACCCTGAGATCATGATGAGGGCTGAAATCAAGAGTCAGATGCCTAACCGACTGAGTCACCCAGGTGCCCCCATAAATATATTCTTAATCCCCTTCACCTGTTTCACCCATCCCCCACCTTCCTCCCCTCTAGTAACCAGCAGTTTGTTCGCTATATTTAAGAGTCTGTTTTTTGCTTGTCTCTTTTTTCTCTATTCCTTTGCTTTGTTTCTTTTTTTTTTTTTTTAAGATTTTATTTATTTATTTGACAGAGAGAGATACAGCGAGAGAGGGAACACAAGCAGGGGGAGTGGAAGAGGGAGAAGCAGGCTTCCCGCTGAGCAGGGAGCCCGATGTGGGGCTCGATCCCAGGACCCTGGGATCATGACCTGAGCCGAAGGCAGACGCTTAGCGACTGAGCCACCCAGGCGCCCCCTTTGCTTTGTTTCTTAAATTCCACATATTAGTGAAATCATATGATATATGTCTCTCTCTGACTGATTTATTTCACTTAGCATAATACCCTCTAGATACATCCATGCTGTTGCAAATGGCAAGATTTCATTCTTTTTATGGCTGAGTAATATTCCATGGCGTGTATATGTGTGTGTTTGTGCATTTGTGTGTGTGTGTGTGTTACATCTTCTTTATCCATCCATCTATTGATGGACACTTGGGTTGCTTCCATAATTTGGCTGTTGTAAATAATGCTGCAATAAACTTAGGGGTGCACATCTTTCTGAATTAGTATTTTCATACTCTTCGGGTAAATACCGAGTGGAATAATTGGATCATATGGTAATTCTATTTTTTTTTTTTTTGAGGAATCTCCATGCTGTTTTCCACAGTGGCTGTGCTATCTTGATTCTTAAAGCATATATGTTTGCCCTCAGCATGACCGCCAAAATATGGACTGATGGATTGTCAAAGAAAAACACAGATTTACTACTGTGAACCACAGAAACCGCTAAAGTCAAGCTAGAGTCTACAGAAACATGTCTTAAATTTAATTTTTCCTTTAGAAGAAATTCCAAGGCAAAGGAGCAGGCTGCAGGCCCCAGGAAACCGTGTTCTCAGACCCCACCAGTGGGCTGCCCTGGGGCTGTTGTTCAAGTTCTCTCTTCCTTTGACTTCCCCTCCTGGTTACTGCTAGATTTGTAGGTTCACAGTCTGCACGTTTTGCAAAATGCTCTGAATAGGAAAAGGAAAAGAAAATCCCCTGTTTATTTACTTGTTTCAGTTTAATACCAGGTTAAGAAATCCTGCTTGCGAGTGAAACTCTGTTTTCTGAGCTGATAAGTCAAACAAATGGGAGTACGAGAAGCCAAACGGAGAAATGCCATGATAAAATATCAAAGATTAAAAGCCCATTTTATTTTAGTTCTTTTGAATCCACTTGTGCTCATTAGTCTTTTATTTTATATCCCTCTCCAAAATTGCCTGATGGCTGATGGTTCTGAGGAGAAAACAGAAAAGGTTCTTGGCATCTTATCAGAAGCCAAATTATTGAGGAGATTTATACCCTACCATAATGTTGGCTTAGAGATATGTATGTCTCCCATCAATCTCATATAACCTTCCCTCTGACTTAAACTACAGGTAATCAATTCCATGGCAATAGAAAGAGACTTACCTATTTCTTGGAAAGGAATAGAACAAACAAATGTTTGGACAACCGCAGCTGTATTAATATACATGAGAAAGCAACAGCTAGTGTTATTCTACAGAAATGAATGAATGAATAAATAAATAGACTCTAAGCACTTTATTCTTCTCACATAATTTCTTCTCAGTGACATTATTGAACAGGCTGTTGAAAACAAACATCGTTAAATGAGAAAAGAAGAGCGGCAGGCTTTCTTATTCCCAGCTGCAACGTTTTCCAATGACGAATGCTCCCTAAATGGGATTGAGCTTTTTGAAAAGAAGTCAGAGAGAAATTTGCTGTGGCCCCCTGACCCCTGGTAAGCACATGTATCTTCACCTGTCACATAACACACTGGCACTTGCTTACTTTTCAGCAAAGACTATTGATTTTGCTTATTGGCTGCAGGCGAGTCCATAAAGAACAAATTACAAAGTCAGAGGTCCACAGTTAGCAATTGCTTGCATGATAACAGGGGCCTCACTCCACCCCCACCATTTGCCATTAACAACCTCACAACCCCAGCCAAAGGAGAAAGCTGGATAAGAAACCCAGGATGTGTTTTCAACTGCCATCAAGTCGGTGATAAATACGAAGGTTTCTGTAAAGTAGGAAACTACAGGAAATGGGCACCAACTGTAGAGGGTGGTGAAGGCAGGTGTGTGCGGGCCCACACACACATGCACACGTGCTTGCATGCACACACACACATTTTAGGGACCAAATGCAAAGCAGAAGCCTTAAAGTAAGGGAGGCGTTCCTTTCTGGATCTAGAAAAGGGACCATGGAATAGGCATTGGGCGCAGCTGTGAAATTGTCCCTTCTTGAGGCTTAAAATAAAAACATGTAGATTGATACAGATATGTTTCTGCTTGAAGGCAGTTTCTCAAGATAACTGCCAGGCCAAAGAATCTATGATTTTTCTTATAGAGATTTAAGAATGGCAGAACATGTTTCCCCTATAGTTGAACAAAGCCTGCAGGTTGAACTTTTTTTTTTTCTTTTTTTTTTTTTAAGATTTTATTTATTTATTTGAGAGAGAGAGAATGAGAGAGAGCACATGAGAGGGGGGAGGGTCAGAGGGAGAAGCAGACTCCCTGCCGAGCAGGGAGCCCGATGCGGGACTCGATCCCGAGACTCCAGGATCATGACCTGAGCCGAAGGCAGTCGCTTAACCGACTGAGCCACCCAGGCGCCCCAAGCAGGTTGAACTTTTAAATAAATAAACCAAAATAAGATGGGAAGCAATGTGATTCAAATCAACCTGAAGCCACTAACGTGGCTGTTCTCCCATCAGCTCATTTCTAGCCACACCTTAAATAGCTCCATCAACTGGATCGAGCATGCAGGGAGCTGAAACTGTTGGGTAAACTTCTCAAAACTGCTTTCTCATGTGACAGTTTTCATCAGGGTTATAATCCAAGATTTGATGGTCACTATCAAATAACCCCCAAAAACTGGGGGAAATTAGTGGATGCTACTTACAATAAGTAGGTAATCTGACATTTTTTTGGCCTAAAATGATAGTCTAATTCCAAAGCCTAAGCACCAAGACACTGAGAATGAAAATAAAGAAACACAGGATTTAAAAAAATACATGTCCTAAAATTCATACATCATTCCCATAAATGAATCTCCTGGCAATTCTAATTCTCCAGAGGGCAGACACTAGAGAGACAAGCCATGTACTGGAGGTATAAAATTATTGATGGATGTAGAGGGGCGCTTGGGTGGCTCAGTCGTTAAGCGTCTGCCTTCGGCTCGGGTCATGATCTCAGGGTCCTGGGATCAAGCCCCGCATCAGGCTGCCTGCTCCGCGGGAAGCCTGCTTCTCCCTCTCCCACGCTCCCTGCTTGTGTTCCCTCTCTCGCTGTGTGTCTCTCTCTGTCAAATAAATAAATAAAATCTTAAAAAAAATTATTGATGGATATAGAGATGGAAAGCTTCACTTAGTGTTTTCATAGAGCTTGATCAGGAAAATAGATATTTGAGAAATATATCTGAAAGTTATCACTAGGTCATGATGACCACACAGATAACCAAGAATAAAAACTATGGCGGAGCCCGGAGGTTGAGGTGTGGACTTCATTTCCATCTTGTCACGTAAAAATGAAGATTCGGTTTGACTTTGCCGCATATTTGCTGACAGTCGTCTTCTATATTTGAAGGGATGCCATGCTAAGGAGACTGATCCACGAGCCTTAAATAGCTACATGGAAAGGAAAACTTCTAAATATACCCTCCCACAAGGCAGGGGCTCTTATGAATATGATTGTGCATTAACATCACTCTGACAGAACTGCTGAGCTAGATCACCGTTTTAAATGAAAACTAAAATCCTGGTCACTTTATTTCCTATGACACCATTGAGATTCCCAGGTAAACTCACCCCAGAGAGAGTTAGCAAGAAATGTTTGGCTATGCAAATTACCTGCTAAAATGGATTCGGATGCAAAAGCTTGTGGGAAGATTATGTGAGTTTGGAATGAAAATGACAAGTCCAGCTTGGGACTCAGGGTAGGAAGCATGGTGGAGGGTTATTGGCTGCCCTCTTAGGCCCTATAAAACCTACAGAATGTTGAGCAAGGAAAAGTCTCAGACTGCAAAGCCAAACTTCTTGCCCTCCCAGGATGTTCCCCTTAACCTCTCTCCTATCCCCCTTGGTACCCCACAGCCCTCAAGCACATAGCCTTTTTGCACTGTCAGGTGGATGGATTAAGTTTGTCATCATCTTCAGCTAGGAGTAGCTGTGAACCGGTTTGGGGATTGAGAGAGGAGCTGGGACATTTATGATCTTCCACAATGATTGCTGTTGCTAATTCTGCTGTGAAATATGTAGAGCATCTGGAGAGGGAATTCGATAAAGTGTGGCCAAAATAGCACTCACTTTATGCCCTCGCTTCTGGCACCGTTTAAGACAGCACTGAGACAGATCATATGACCCCAGCCCTTGCAAGACCTCATCACTTTTCATGGGAGAACTGAAAAGTGCTGATCCCAGAGCGTTTATGCTGATGGAACACAGATAAAAATCTGCAGGTGTAACTTTTTAAAAATTTAGTACATGAAGCATAAAAAATATATCAGTACCGCTATACATCATCCAGACTCTACTTCAACACCATGTTGTAGATATAAAAACACTCATCAGGCTCTTTCAAGGTGCAAGAATTCCTATAAAAATAAAAGGTTAAGAATGGTCCTCTTGTAATTTTTAAGGGATATTGGGTGTAGTATTTGCTTAGAATAACCCTAAGAGAACACATCTTTTCAATATAAAGATACCAAATATTTTTTTTTTAGATTTATTTATTTATTTGAGAGAGCGAGAATGAGAGAGAGTACATGAGAGGGGGGAGGGTCAGAGGGAGAAGCAGGCTCCTCGCTGAGCAGGGAGCCCAATGCGGGACTCGATCCCGGGACTCCAGGATCATGACCTGAGCCGAAGGCAGTTGCTTAACCAACTGAGCCACCCAAGCGCCCAAGATACCAAATATTATTGACATGTATTGTCATCATCTAACTTTTCACTGGGTGAGAACTTGTTATCTAGGATGCTTGAAAGAACTATCGAGGGAAGGAAAAAGAAAAGAATGAAGAAGATGGATAATTCAGTAAGAACTGGAGGTGAAAAATAGCTAAGCCATGGGTAAGTGAAGAAAGAGGAAAATACGAAGTCCTAGCTAGAGGATGCCCTTCTTGAAGGGCTGGGGGACATTGAATTTCCTCACCTCTAAAGTAAGTTAAACTAGATCTTGAAGCCAATTCAAAACTCTTCCCTAAGAACTCAATCAAGAGAATGAAGGCTGGGCATACAAAGATCATTTGTATGCTTGGAAAGTATACAAATCCATTTTCTCCTTAGAACAGCTTACAGTGAATCACAGATATAGAATGAAATTGTGTTGGAAAATAATGGACATATTTACCTGATTCCTGTGTCCCGAACAAATTCAAAGCACTTTATCAAATGTATGCCATTCTATACTGGATGAAAACATGATGGTAATGTCTTCTCTAGAAGAAGAGATAGAAACGATATTGATTCAGAGTGGGAGAGAGGATACAGGTAAAAACCCACCTGGATGTTTGGCATTACCTGCTACCAAGTTTAGATTCTCAAATGGAAGTCTTCAGCTCCTTCCACCTCCTCAAACTTAAAACGTCTCAAATTCATACCTTCTTCAACCCCACCCCGCCACGCCAACATCATTCTCTGCCCTCAGTTCCCTTGCTCCATGAATGAGACAACCACTATTTGAAATAGAAACATGGGAGTCAGTCCAGGAACCTCCTGTTCTTTCTTTATCCTACATCCTCAGTCAAGGGATCCCACAAATTTTATGCCTAAAAAATCTGTCTTGAAATTTCCCCCCCACCCCGCTTCCATTGTTTTAACGTAAGTCCTCTTTATGCCTCTCTGGATTATTGGACCTCCTAACTTCCCAGCACCATAACTCAACACCCACCTCTCAACAAAATATCCTCACTCTTGCCAGAGAAATCTTACTAAAAGAAAACCTGCTATATTACTCAGCATTAAATCTTTCAGTGGGTCCCTATTATCCTTTGGAATCAAATCTGAATTCCTTAGGACGGCATGAAGGACACTTTACCATCTGACCTCTGCCTCCCTACTTAGTCTCATCTTCTTCTAAAGCCCTACATTCACCCATATTCTGGTCCACTGCTTTGAGCTAAAGGAAATCACAGACTATTCCTCTGCCTCCCTCCACCAGCTTCCCTCAGCCCATTCACTGAACTTCAACAATGAGCACAGAAAGAACATCGAACTAATAGACCAAAGAGTCTTAGCCTCAATTTTAAAATAACACCCAGGCAGACCATGTTTTTAGATTCCCCTAAATCGTGTCTTTCTCATAAACGTGACTCTTACAAACCAAATGTCCTTTGAGTTTTCAGATCATTATCTCTATTATGGGCTCTGAAAAACTCATTCTGAAGCTCAAAGCTCAGTTTCCTTGTGAAAGGCTGACTCTGCCTTATGTTTCAGGCGATGAATGATATTAATTTGGCAAAGGGAAAGTTGTGTGTAGGTCAACTAAGGAACTCTAGGAGCTACCAGAAATTAAAAAGACATCAGGTGGTATTTAAGGATTAGGTTTTCTACTATAGAATCTTATCAGGAAAACAGTCAGCTCTGGTCTAGGATATCTGACTCCCTAGGAAACCACTGGATCATTTCAAAACAATGAAAAACTATCCCTAAAATTCCCAGTGACTTCGTGTCTGTGAAGGAACTCCTCTGATAAACACCAACTTATACTACCCAAAGATATAATATTTATGATAGACTTAGAATTTTATGCAAGAGAATATCCAGCCTAACACAAAATTAATAGCATACCTTCATTTGTCTGTTGACACATAAAGGATTAAAAAAGTGTATCTCTCCATGTGGCACTGGGTGGAGACTGTTTGGGTGGTCCCTGAAGGGAAACACTGCTGAGTACACAGAAGAGAGAATTTTGCTTCTCTCCTCAAGAGCAGTGATGAGAATATCTTTGTTTCTGTGACTCCTGGAGAAGCTTTATTATGTCCAGAGGAGCCAGAAAGGGAGAAGTAGGGTGGTGGCATTGAAGCAGTCAAAACCAAATAAGACAAAGTAATGAAATGTTTCTGGGTGCCTTTACTAATCTCTTGTAAGATGCCTAGTTCAATCCTGAAGAAAAGTGAGAAAAACAGAATTTTACAAGTAGAAAAATTAGCACCTAAGGGAACCATGCAATTTATATTTAAAAAAAAATAGTCACTTCAAGAAAAAACTCTCTTCAAATTCAGTTTCAGTTGATTTCAAATTCAGTTATTTCTTCACTCATTACCATATATGTAGACTCAACTAAGAATTTATTCATGCTTTTCTGCTATTGATCCCTGACTCAAACTGTGAATAATAGTTTTATCTCTATTATTATCAAATGACATGAAATTCCTAAAGTGGCTGTTTAAAAAAAAATCATTAAAAAAGAAGCAAACATCCTATAAACATGTTTTTTTTTTCCCAACTCTCAAGACAGATGTAAAACAACTTTTTTTATTCTGAAGCTTGAAAATTTCCTAATGGATTATTAGTTTTACCGGAATTTTCAGAAGCAAATCCTATGTGGTAAATTAATGGTTCAGAAAGTGTATGTAAGAGAAAAAATGCTTACATTACATAGCTCTCTGCCAGGATCAGTGATGTTGCTTTAACACAAAAGGACATCCCATTTCCTTACTTGGGTTGCTTCCTTGGTTGAATCACAGAAGCAAGCAAAGGATAGCCTCTTCTTTAGGTAATTCCTTTGTTATGGTTTGGCGCATCCCTGGGTCCTAAACTTAAGAAGTCCAATCAGAAGCCAGGCCTGCTCATTCCTGGATTATAATTCATGCCTGCATACTGAGGAATTTATTACTCCAACCGAGTATCACAATCTGCCCTTACTCCACCCCTTTCTAATCTGAGTTCTCAGAAAAGAATTGTAGGAACTTAAATTCATTAGAAAAATTCTTAATTCCAGAGTATACAAAGAATCTTCTCAAGAAACATCATTGCTCTGTATCCTTAGTTTAATATCTATCAAAGGAAAAAAAAACCTAGTATCATTGAAGGTTTACAAATATCTTATTTAGACTCCTAGATATGAGATCATTGGGGAACTTTGATTTCTAGAAAGTTTCCAAGTACTCCTCCCATAGTATATTATCATTACTACTAATAATAGCTTACACTGATTAAGTACTTATTATGTGCAAAGCTGTATCTCATTTAATCCTCATAGCAATTTTATAAAGTTGATACTCTTACTATCCCTTATTTTGACAGATAAAAGTAGGCTTCCAGAGTGCTGCTAGTACATTATTACCAAGACTGTAAGTACCCATTAGCAAGTCACCACGTCTCCAGTGGTGACACTGAAGAGGTCCTCCGGAGCTTTAGGGTTCCACCACCCACACAGTGTTTTGAGAGTCACTGCATCTCCCCTCATGGTTCCCAATCCCATGTAGAGCTAATGTTTCAGAAAATGTGATCCCTCTTAAAGACAGTCCTCATCCAGTGGATATCAATGTTCACTGTCCCTGTGGATGACCTCAAAGGATAAAAATTCTCTTTGGTGAACATGCCAGTCACAACATATGTTCAATATTGAATACTGTTGATGCTTACCAAATAATTATGATTATTGTTGATTATAATGATAAAAGAGTAGACCCTATGATCAATAATAGTTAGTCTTAATTTTTAGCACTTCATGTCATTTATATCAAGTTTTTGTGAAAAATACCAGTTAGCCATCATTATAGATAACTTCAGTTTGTCTACAGAGGAACTTGTCTTCCTTTTTTTCTCCTTGAAGATTTATTTATTTTAGAGAGAGAAAGAGTGTGTGCGAGTGGGGGGAGGGGCAGAGGGAGAAAATCCCAAGCAGACTCCCTGACGTGGGGCTCAATCTTTCAATCCATGAGATCATGACCTGAGCCAAAATCATGAGTAGGACACCCAACCGGCTGAGCCACCCAGGTGCCCCACTTGTCTTCCTTTTCAGCATGCCCATAACATCCTCCATACTGACAAAGAGTCACAACCAGTTATGGAACAATTTCTCTTTGACCACTCATTGATACCCTTACTGTGTGCCCAGCCTGTATGCCCAACTGACAAGTCTTCTGACTACAGAAATCTTTCATCCAATAGGCTTGTTTCACAAACTGGATATTAACCAGCTTATGTTGGTATTTAATGGAGTGACCAGGGACCCAACATTTCCTTGATCTGGTTTTACCTCTCTTGAAAGTTTGAATCATAAGATTATAGGCAAGTCAGGGCTGGAAGGAACCTTTGAGATGATTTCCAGTTCCCACATATTATAGAGAAATGAAATTCCAGACAGATCACATGGCTCATTTGTGGACATACATGATTAGTAGTTCTGACTCATAGTTTAGATCCTGTGCCACTTTTTCACACCATTTCATGATTGGTACTCTTAAAAAAAGAAATAAAATTTTGGTTGAATTGAGTAAATCCAATGCATGGAGAGAGGCATTCTGCGTATATATCTCTGAAAGGCAGGGGAACAAGACACCATGGAAAAGTAGCTCCCACTTATTCATGGACTCCACAGACATTGTACCAGGCATCCCACATCTGTTTTCTCTTTCAAAACACACAGTCACTCTGCGAGGTTTTACATACAAGGATACAGAAGCTGGGAGAACATAGCTAACTTGGCTGAAGTCAGAAGTAGTAGACAGCCTGCCTGGATTTTGAACCCAAATTTTCCTGAGTCCAAGCTGGGTTCTTCTCAATATAAAACATTCTTTGGCTTTTGGGAAAAGGGAAGTGACTTTTTGTTTTAAAGTTGAGTGATGTGTTGAAAAGTGTATTGGAAACTGAAAACTTGGTGCTCTTTTCCATTCCTGAAAGAGACTGCAGTGTGAAAAGGATACTGGATGAGGGCTGTTTGCTCGCTTATGGTGTGAGCATTCTGTACTTTCTATTGTAGCTCTTTGATATTTTAGGCCTATTGATCAGGTGATTTTTCTGATGAGGTACTTTTTCATTTTATGCATTGTTTCCGTGTCTGGCTGTAACTCATTTCAGCAAAATGACATGCCTCTTCCCTGCCAAAGAGTACGTAATGTAACATGACTCATCAGAGAAGTAACATGACACATCAAAAATAAATGCTCATGACTAGTGATTTAGGTAGCTAATAAAGGCAAGAACACTGTATTATTCATGTCTAGATAATATTCATGGATAATTCAGTATGCCCAAACCCCTAAGGATGAGTCTTCTAAGGCAAATACACTCTTTCTGTGGACTTTGCTAAATCAAACCAGATGTGCTGCAAGATACATTTTTATCAAAAGCTTTACTTTATAAATAGGCTCACCAGCCAGACTCATTTTCATCCTGTACACTGTCTTGGGTATTATAAGAAACGATCTATCTCAGAGGACTGAAGTTTCCCATCAGATTTCTCACTCTGAACCAGCAAGTTTTTGAAGGC